AGCGGAGGGTTGCAATTAGAGAGGCAAGTATAGGGTTGCATACTTCTCTAGAGGGAGAGAGCAGGTTTGAATTCCTTTAATCTAATAGGAAATATCTCCTTCCCTTTCATATGCAGCACTTTCTTGTGGTATGCAGTCATCCAGGATTGCTCCATTCCATTTCTTTCAGTGTTTCCCTTTTTGCTGTAGGAAGACCTGTCCCTGGTGATCAAAGGCATCTTTCTAAACTACAGGGGCAGAATGAGGAAACAGGATGCTGGATAAGGGATCAGAAAACTAGCTGGCTACATCTCTGCAATTAAGCATGTCTCGGAGCAAGACTCGAGGAAATGCACAAGCTCTTCTCACTGCCTCAGTTTCCCTGGTCGCTAGCGTGGGGATAATTGCACTAGCTTCCTTTAGGGAATTGCCCCGACCTCTGTATACTAAATTTCCTTTCCATGTTGGTTCTGTCATTAGAGCAACTGGCTCAACGAGACAAGCAAGAGAGAGGGGCAAATACCAGTTAGAGGTGAGCTGTGCTTCTTCCTCCTGTTCAAGCGCCACTTCCAGACTGGGCACTGTCTTGATCCCTTGACTGAGCAGGCAGCAGCACCCTCCTGACTGGTGCGGAGTAGCAGTCCCTTGTAATCCCTGAGGAAGGCTCAGATGGGTTTGCTGTTGCCGATAGCTTCTTCCCATGAGAGTCCAGGACATGCTCTGCAAACATGGGAATGCTGTTGCTGCTGAGGAACAGCATTGGCAGCAGGCAAAGATGGAAGAAAACTGATAGGACAGAAGCCCTAGTCATAGCCATGGCTTGGGGGCTGATAGGTTATGTATCTGGGTGAGCCAAAACCAGACCAGGGAGAAGACGACCTGCCAGAGCTGCTTCAATTTATGGGGCTGAAGTGAGCATCGAAGGCCCGGAGCCCGCAAGGGGGAGCCCGGATGAAGTCATTCACTGCACTGCTGATGAGATCAGCTCCAGATGGGAAACGATCTGCTACTGATACAGTGCATTTGGGATTCAGGTGTCGAGAGGGGCACTTGAAAACGTGAGCAGATTCACCCATTCTTGCTGTGTTATCACTAGCAGATGGAAGGGGTGTCATTAGAAAGCACAACTATTGGTGAGAAAAATGGTTTAAGAGGCAGGATTTTGCCAAGTTACAGTTTAGCTCTGAAGAACAGCAGGAGGGAGAAGGAGAAAAATCCTCTTGCACAGGCATTTTTCATGGGCATCCAAGCATGATCTGAGCAGAGATTGGTGACACGAGACCAGGCGTCCTGGAGCAAATCCCCGAGCCTGGATGATGAATAAATGCCTGCATTGCGGCGACAATGAAGTGTGACGTTTGCCAGGGATGTTGAGGGGAGCTCAGGCGCAGCCGTGTGCAGCCTCTCTTTTATAGCATGGCACAGGGAGGAGGCATTCCCGCTGCGGGGTGCCCCGGCAGAGGATGCATGTGCTCTCTGCTGTGCAGCTGGCTCACGTTTGGCAGCTGGGGAGCTTCAAGAGATGGGTTTTGGCCTGGGCTTGAAAATCCCCCATTGCCAGCAATCCCGCTTTGGCTGCAGCTGCCTCAGGTTCCCTGTAGGAAACTTCAGTGCTGGTTTAAGCCTGGGCTGTGGAATGGCAGGAGGAGGCAGTCTGGCAGCATTCCCCTCTAGCCTGGCTGCTCAAGCATATGCTTGCCAGCACAATGAGCTTCAGCCCCAGTGAGAAGCAGCAGAGCGGAGTGAACCCAGTGCTGGTGAATGGCAGACGTGGGGTTAGGAACAGAAAGAAAACTGTGACCGAGAAGGAGCTGGAGGAGGGAGACACAGAGTCTCTGTGTGTGCAGATTTGCTGAGGGTGGACCTGGCCTTTCATAGGCGGCTTTCTGGTCCCTCTGGCTTCATCTGTCTTGGTAAATGCAACAGGAGCAGGGCCAGGCCTGAGTGCTGCTGTGGGATGATGTCTCATACTGTGTGGTTGTTAGCACCTTCCCTGGCACGGGTTAGAGCTGTTTTAGCTAGCAATGCTGCAGCAGCCAGGCACAGCTGGGGGCCAGGGTGCCCTGGGGACTGTTCCCAGCAGAGCTTTGGTGTCACTAAACATTTAACCCCATAGAATCACAGAATGGTTTGGATTGGAAGGGACCTTAAGATCATCTGGTTGTAACCCCCCCTGCTGTGGGCAGGGACACTTCCCACTAGACCAGGTTGCACAAGGCCATGTCCAACCTGGCCTTGAACACTGCCATAGCTGGGAGCAGTGCCTTGGTCTTTACTTCTGGAGCGGAAACAGCTGCACTCTGTAAGGCCAGGTCCCTCTGAAGGCAGCCTGTTGAAGTGCAGTCCCCTGCAGCCTCCATATTTACCCCTTAATTTTCCATTTTTTCCTCTCTCCAAAGATGCAGAAATGTCACTCAACAGGTTGTAAGCGAGTGTGTGGGGTGGGAGTGTGTGCGCCAGACTGAAACTGGGAAACACTGTCTGCTAGCCGTGGCTGAAACAGGGTTGTGACTCAGTGTTCTACACGCTATGCTATGTATCACTGACCACGTCTTACCTCCTGCCTGGTGGGGTGAGGGAGATGCTATGAGGAAATGTTGCCCAAGCACATGAGGTCATGGGGGTGTGGGGGCCAGCTCCTGGGTGCAGGGAATCGGACTGGACTGGGTGCACAGGCATGCTAAATTTGCACCTCTGGCTTTTCTGCCTTGGGCAGGCAGAACAAGGACCCCACTATATTGCCCATAGAACACACGATTCTGCAGCCTGTGTCGTGTTTCCCCCACCACCCCAAACTACATCAGGTTTGGGAACTCACTTGGGGAGCAGAACAGGGGCAGAGCTCATGTATCTCCATTTAATGTGCTGCTGAGACAAGTCCTCCAGCCAGGGGGAGACTCAGGTCCACAACTCTGGGGGTATCCAAGCAGCCTCTGCCTGGGAGGGGCTGCACACTGTTGTTCCTCTCAGCCCAGTGTGCGTTTTGAAGGCAGTGTCCACTTTCTAGCTCTTGCTGCAACCACGCTGCATTTGCACATTGCCTCTGCTGGAAGCATATCCTCTTTCTGCCATCCTCATTTGCAGAAGGGGATGCTTCCAGCAGAGGCTGCTTCTCTTTTCAACTCCTTCCTTGCAGAGGGTAGCTTTGCATCTTGAGCAGCTCACCTCCCCTTAGCTGCGCTCTGTCTGAATTTCAGGAGGAGAGTGCATGCTGGGAGCTGATGGGGCTAAAAGCACTGTCGCAACTGGCAGAGTGGGCTATGAGACCTCTTCCCTCCAGCTTTCTCTAGCTGCTGTGCTGGTCCTGCAGCAGCCAGCCACTTGTTGGCGTCCAGAGCTGGCGCTAAGCATTCTTCAGCTCATCCTGAGCTGGGTCTCTGGGGAGCTGCTTCTGTGCTGGAGCTGTTCAGGAAGGATTCCCACCCCTTTCCTAATGAGACTGAGTGAGTAATAGAGATGTTCCTGAGGGACGGTGTTGTAAGGAGTGCTACGTGCATGTTCAGGACCAGAGAGCAGGTCTCCGCTAGCATTTCCCTGCTGTTGTGCAGCAGACGTTGATGCATGTCCCATCTTGACAGAGGAGATAAGCTATCTGTGTGCAGATGGGAACTTGCCTGGCAGTTGCAGCCACCCGGTCGCATTGTTCTTATCAGGTCTCCTGGCTTGGCAAGTCAGTCTGTCATAGAGAATGGACACGTGTTTGGGGCTATTCAGCCTGGGATATGGTAAGATTTGTCTGGTGTTGAAAGCATTTAGTTTGTAATACCCTTTTCCCCTCTCAGGAGGAACCATTCTCCATCCAGGGATCTGACTGCAGTTAAATCTGTGTGTCTGCTTCATTGCTGGGGGACTTCCAGAAGGAAGACTATGGAGAAACCTAGGGCAGCCAGAGAAACACAGCCAGGTTCTGGCTTCGGTGTGTTGCTGGTGGCGGGGAAAGAGGGGCAGCAGGAGGAGGCACAAACTGGAGGGAAGGAAAATAGCCAGAGAGAGAACAAATAGCGTAGCATGACTGCTGGGAATGCAAAATAAACATCCACTGTGGTTGAGTGAGGGCTTATGTACTACTCAATATATGGCATGGGTCAGAAACAGGAGTAGAGGCTCACAGGAGTAGAGGCTCACAGGAACTGTCCAGAGGAAGGACAGGATGCCCATAGGGGACTGGTCAGCAAAAGAGGGTGTCCTCAAATACATGGTATGTCCCTTAGTGTCCAGTATAGTGCTGGGAAGGGAGATGAGGTGTCCCAGGAATGCAGACCAGCTCCCTGCAGTACCTTGTGGAGATGAAGCATCTGGGCAGTTCCATGACCCAGGAGGCTCAGGTGCTGGCTTCAGAAGCTCCTTCACAAGGCTGTGGCTGTAGCTCCTTCCTAGGAAACTGGGAAAAAGTAATTCAGCACTCATGCTGGTAAGAGTTGGGACCTACCCTGCTTGTCCTTGGAGCTCCTGTGGCAGGTCAGGCTCCTTTCCCTGTGGCTCATTCTGAAGGTCCATGGGTTCATGTATTTTTGGTGCCCTTCCCCCTGGAAAGGGGGAGGAGAGGAACAGGGAGAGTCAGTTGTGTGGGCCTGGTCTTTTCTTAGGTCTCCTTCAGATGCCTGCTGTTTCCTCTTTAGATGCCCATTTACCGCACCGAGTCACTCATTTTGGGATTTGGATTCCCTTTTTTTTGGCAGCTCTTCTTTCCCATCTCCATCTGGTTTGGTTTTTACTGTTTCATTTTGCAGGGCCATCAAAGGGAGTTTGTTCAAGTTGATTTTTGAGCAACAGATAGTTTTGACTTGACAACCCCTTCCTCTGCAGACCTCGGCCATAGCCTTAGATCCATGGTGGGTCGCCCCTGTGGACCCTCTCAAAGCTGCTTTGTGGTAAGGTGGGTGCTACTTGCCAACGGGGATGAGGAGTACTTGACTTTAGTGACGTGAGCATGGGAGAGCAGACCCTTTTGATTTTCACTCCCCTTTTATCCAGCCCGTGAGCTGTTAATTCTTGTGGCTTTTCAAAACTTGCTATTTCTCCCTTAGCATTTATTTCTCTTTTTTATTTCCAGTGGGTGAGCCACCCTTGGCATCGCGCCTCATGCATGTGACTCAGATGGATTCTGCTCGTCTGAAGGATTCCTGCAAATCCTCAGAGTTGTCCAACCTGCCTTGGCTCAGGCTGGAGCCTGTGAGAAACACACTCAGAGTGGGTTGTGCAGTGCCAGCACTGTTCTCCCTGTGCGGATGGACCGCTGTGTGCAGGGACGTGGCAGTCACTCTTGCTGCGTGCCCTGTGGGATGGAATCGGGATGGCTGCTCTGAGCTCAATGGAGGGAGGTCCCCATGGAGCTTTTGTGTATGGCGCAATGCTGTGTTTCTTTTTAGCTTATTCGGGTTCCAGCCAGCTGGCCTCACGCTGTCTTTGTTGTGGGAAGTGGTCCCCTTGAAGTCAGGGGAATTGGGCTTGGGGCATCTCGGAAGTTCCTTGGCTTCCACTGTTGTCAGTTCAATTGAATGCCTCAGACTTAATTGCACCCACCCAAGGGCTAATGTTTTTCAGAGGCACTGAATGCCTCAGTCTCTCCTACTGATAGGAGGTGGTGTGGTGAGAGATCAGCATCTCTGATACTCTAGCTGCATTAGCCAGGGGAGCACAGCTTCCTTTTAGCTTCTTGCACAGGTTTGCAAAGCTAGGTTGATTTCATTATTTATAATTTTTTAATCTGGCCATTGAAACTTTAAGATGAAAATCAAACAGGAAGAATTGTTTTGGATGTGAACTTGGGTGTCTGTGCCTCAATTTCCCCAATGGTGTGCAAGATGAGGGAGCTGCCATCTTACTTAATGGCAAGATAAAGCTGTTGGAGATAATAATCTTCTGATGCAAGATGCAAGTGGAACATAAAACCTCATGAAACTGATCCTTTATGGAGGGCTCTTTGGAAGATCTGTTTCCTACTAAGCTAATAATAGCTCACCCAGCAAGTCTGGGTAAAGCTGGGAGATTACAGAAGTTTAGGAGGAAGGGAAGACATGAGCCTTCTATGCATCTTCTCCTTGTCAGTAGGGAGGCTTTCAACACAAGTGTGTTTTTATCTCCGGGCGTGTTTTTGAAAGCCTTTCCCACAACCCACATTCCTGGCATGCCCCCACAAGGGAAAGAATCAGAGAAATGAAGGCTGGAAACGGAACAGGGTGGCATGCAATCACTCCTCTGACCTCCCTTCCCTATCCTCTGCTGGTTCAGTTCGTTCTTCTGCCCCTCTGGCAAGATGGGCACCTGTAAGATACGGCTTGGGTTGATGAAATGGCCCTTGATGCCTCATGAGCAAGCTTCCTTGCATGGGAGCCACCTTCCTCTCTTCCCCATGCACAACTTGTACCACACAAAAATGTTGCCACAGACTTCTAGAGCTGCCCAAGAGAGATGTCCTCTGCAAAGGTATAAGGACATAACTTGGCCATGGGGTTGGAAACCATCCGCCACAGCGTGTTTGAGCTCCCCATGGAGATAGGAGATGTCAGTCGCTGTGGCACCACTGCCTTTCTCATAGAGCTGTGAGATGGAGTGAGTCTGAGGCTACACCCATCCCACTGCTTGGTTCAAGTTGCCTCCTTCACTACTGCCCCTAGTTCTGAAAGAATGTGTTGGGTTTCTTTCCCACAGTTTGGCTGCTCAGCTAGCATTGTCCTTCCTGCTTATCCCCCACATCCTAAGAAAGAAAAATGGCACCCTACAGCTTAAGGGGAGTAATGCTGGTGTCGAACCTACCGGATGCTGGTGGCCTCTAATCCCTTGCCACCAGTTTCAGAGCATGAATTCTGCTTCCATACTTCCCAGAGGGGATCTGGATGATGCACTGTCAGAGAGCTGGGGCATGAGGGGTAGCAGGAGGTTTACCTCCAGTCCTTTATTCCTTCCCATTTTAGTTGATCTGAATGCAGAGACCAGTGCCTTCCACAGGGGAGCCATCCCACACTGCTTAACCTCTTAGGCAGGAAATTAGTGCTCATGGGTCCTAGTGTCCTTGTGCTCATCACTGCCTTGGCTTCTCCTGTGTCTCCTGGAAAATCCTCTCCTGTACACACCCTCAAGATCTACAGACCTGCTTATCCAGTCTTGGGCTTACCTCAGTGCTTGGCTGAGGTAAGTACATTCTGTTCTCTCAATCCTCCTCCATTAGAAAGCTGGCTGACTTTCAGAGCTCAGGGATCGGCTGGGTGAAAGTTTGCAGCACTACCTGCTGAGAGGCAAACCAGCACCTCTCCACCACAGGGGAAACCAGTCCTGTCCAACCTCTCTGGGAATTTCTGGGACTATTAGGTGGAGGACTGATCATCTCCATCAGGATGTGGCAGAAACCTCTTTTCAGTCATGTCCTAAGCTGTGGCCCCTGAAAATCCAGGATTCAGCTTCTTGAAATGCGCCCCACAGCCCTCTAAGGCTGTGGTCATTCCCCCCTAGGCTTCATAAAAGGGGGAAACCAAGGCAGAAACGTGGCTTTATCACACCTGCAGGGAAGAACCTCAGCCAGGGCCCAGATAAGGTCAGAGAACACAGTTTAAATCAGGTCACTGTTCAATATTTATTGTGTGGAGTTTTTCTCTTTTCTCCCTCACTGAAATCCTTCCCCAGAGGCTATTCAAGGAAATAAATAGCCAGTGGAAAGGGACAATAGCTTGCTGTGGAGCACAAATTATATGAAGCAGTAGGAAATAATAGCAGAGTGAGCAGCTGCTACCCCGAGAAAGAATGCATGGTTAGGCTCTCCCGCTCCCTTTGCCTTGAGTGGATGCTTATGCCTGGTTTGCAGCACAGGCTCCCTGGTGCCTTGAGTGCAAAAGGGGACTTGTGCCTTTTCCCCTCTGCAGCGTCCTCCTCTGGTGCTGCTTCTTTGGTGTTTTAATTGGTGCCGAGCTGAAACCTCAGCTTTCTGTGAGGGTGTTAAAGGGATCTTTCACTGCTTCTTGCAGAGCTTGGTTTGATGTTTGGAGACCTTCGTCATAGCACTGTTGTGAGGGATAGTGTGGACCATTTTGGTGTGGATGCCGCAGAAGGCCCTGAGAAACCTCTCGCAGCTGGGGTGGTTGGGCTACCTTGGCTAGGAAGTAGGGAAGCCTGTGGTTTTCCTCAGGGCTTCATACCTGTCTGGCTTATCTCCTGCCCGAGTAAGGAAACAAAAATACTGCTGCCAGCAGTGATGCTGCTGAGGATCTTGGCAGCCTGCTGTAGAGGGTGGCATTCAGTATGTGTGGGTGCCCTGTGGTAGAAGTGGCAGCTCTAGGCTATGGTACATGAGGTGCTGCTATCTGGTGGCCTTGAAATCTCCCTCAGATGAGAAGAAAGGCTGGGAAGGACTTTTAACCCTAAAACCTACCTTATGGGGCCTCTTCAAATGGAGCTGCTGCATTTCATGGGGTGAAAGCACTCTGCAGAGGACCTGCCCTTCTGGCTGAAAGCTGATGTGGTTGCACTGGCCTTTTTCCTCCTTAAAATATGATTTTTCTGTTTTTTTTCTCCATGCAAAATTGCAGGCCTGCCTACTCTCTGTTGGAAGCTCGCCTTGCCTTTGGGTTGGGCATGGCCCCCACCCTTGCACCAGTGACTGCTTCTTGGGTCTCTGCTGTCCCAAGGCATGCTCTGAGAATGCAGCAAAGCTTCCTCCGCTGCCAGCAGTGTGAAGATGGGTGTCCCATACCAGTACAGGCCAGATGCCCCCTGGCCAGGATGAACATCTGTATGGGACCTGGAGAGCTGCTCCCAGACAGGTACCCTTTATAAGATCATTTATCTTGGAGATGAACTGTTCCTGGATCCCTTGCACCAGTGGCTGCCAGCTTCCACAACCATTGCTTGTAACTTTCCTCACTGCACAGACCCTCCACCTCCTTTACAGATGCCCTTTAGCTGGATTTCCTCTTTCTTTGGGATTTATGTTCCCATCATACCACCGTTTCCCCAGGCTTTCTGCTTTGCAGTGTCTGTAGGGAAGTATCAGCCTGCCCCCTTCACCCTCCTTTCATCATCCCAGTTGCCACCTCCAATTGCACTGGAGAATTTTGGCTCTTCTGCGGTTCCTAATGTCTCAGCCCCTTCCTATGTGGAGAGCGCGCACCCCTACATGAGGGAGGCCATCTGCACAGGGCTGGTGTCTGACCACGCAGAGGCTCAGCTCTGCAGACGAAGGAAGTCGCCAGCACTGGCAGAGGTGCTCTCTGGTTTCCCACTATTGTTCCCAGTGGCAAATAAAAGGGGGGTGAACGCCCCTGCTGAGCATTGTAGGAGGGGGGTTAGTGTTATCTCGATCAAATCTCATGGCCCCTCTCTGAGCAGCTCGTGCCTCTTTCCTGCCTGTCTCCATCTCTGTGTATTCTCACATCCGTGGTACTTGCAGCTCTGCACATAACTGTGCTCAGGCAGTTCTCCCTATCCTCACACACACGCTGGGCAGCCTCGTGCTCTGCCAGTGAGACAGATGGATAAATCCCTGTGAGAGTGATGTTTCTGACTGGTCTGTGTGGGAAGCCTCCTCTGCATTGCTAGCCTGGGACCTGGGTCTTGTCTGTGTTACAACATTCCTGTGTCACCTTGGCTAGCCATGTAGGACCAAGTTTAAGGTTTGTCTTGGGATGTAATCTCTTGAGCCCTGGAAGTGTTTGTTCCTCCCTGATGGCTTAAAGTGAGTTCAGATAACTAACCTTGATGGTGGCTATGTGAACAGTGTCTTTGTACTGCCCTTGTCCCTGCAAAGGGGAATGTAAGTTGCTGGAAAGAGCCAGTGGGACACTCTGATATTTTGAGAGGTGGACTCTGTGTTGTCCCTGGGATGGCTGCAGGGGAGCAGGGTGACATGGAACTGTGTGCACATGCAACGCAGCAGCATGCTGGGAAACAGACCCAATGCCAGAACCCACCATCCCCAACACTGCTTCTATGCTCAGCACAGGGAGGTTTCACCAGCAGCTTCAAGTGACCTCAACAGCAAACAGATGTTCCCAGTCTGTTGGGCTTTATGACCCCCAGCTAACAGGAAGCACCTCCGGGGAAGGAGTGCTTATCAGCACTTACCTCTGCTCTCTTCAGGACGTTTTGGGGAAGGGCAGAAGCTGTCTCCCAGCTGGCTGTGCAGCAAGCAGCATGACTGCACTCAACTGCTCTCTGCAGGGCTTGAGAGGAGGATGAGGGGATGCTGGTCTTCTGGGTCTTGGCCTCCTCCTCCCTCTCACTTTCCCACTGACTTCTGGAGTCCAGCAAAACACCACCCATTTGTTCAGCCAAACCTGGGTCACTGTGTATTGACAGCTCTTACCTGGGAAGCAGACCGCACATGTGATGCTCGTGTGATGCTCCCCTGTGAGGACAACCTTCCCATGTCTCAGGGTTGGGGAGGATGGTGCTATTGAACCTGATGTGCATGGCTCCTCATGCCAAAAGAATTGCATCTCAGTGGAGCTTGGGTGGGAGGTTGCAGAGAGCTCCCACATATTGCCAGTGCAATCCACACAGCTGGGGCTGAGTCTAGAGCCATGAGAAGGGAAAGAGCTGGGGTACCACTCATGTCACTCCAGCAAGGGACTGTCCATAACTTATGTCATCTAGAGGGGATGTGTTGGCTGCCCTCTCCTCCAAGTGGATTGGAGCACTGTGGGAGGGATGGTTGAACAGATTTGGTATGCTGGTGTTGGTTTTCGGGGCTGCCCCCTGCCACAAAAGGAAGGATCTGGGATGCTGCTTTTGGCTGAGCTGTTACACACAGAAAAGCAGTGAATATGGTGGTTAAACCTCCATGGCCAACTGGGAAAAAGCTTGTCCTATGCATTGGCTAGATTAAGACCCCTATGGTGTGTGTGTGGTGGTCTCTCCACTGGGAGCCCACCAAGGAGGCTGGGAATTGGTTTAATCTCCTGAAGTCCCTAACAACAGGAAGTGTTGGGAAGCTATTTCTTTGGATCAAAGTCTAGTGGCTTAATAGTAATTGGTGGGGCCTTGCAGAGGCAGGGGTGCAGTTAATGTGTAAGCCACAAGGAAGTCTAAGGATGGTCTAAGGTCCTCAGTGTGAAGCATTTCTGAGTTAAACTGCTGGTGGCTCCCTACCTGGTTACTCTGCTCTCTGAGGAAGATGTCTGTAAGGGCTGCTGCTCCTGTCCTCTGTTACCCAGGGTCCTCAGCTCTGCAGGGCTGAGTGAGGGATCAGCCAACCCACAGCCACCTCTGCTCTTACCACTTGCATGTTATTTCTCGGGCAGCATGCGATGCTGCCCACCAAACACTGGGTTGTGCCCCTCTGCTTCAACCCTCTTTGTACCTCTGTGTTCATGCTCTCCTTCTGCTGAAGACAAGCCTGTTTTCATCTCCTCTCTCTCTGATGTCTTTCCTTGCTTGCTGGCTTCACTCAGCCCACTATTTCATCACTAAGAAACCCAGGCAAGTCCTCCACATGGAGGGTTTTTGGCCACGGGAGGAACATCAGCTAAGAGCAGTAGATGTTCTCCTGGCTGGGGCACCTTCTTCTAGCATCACCCTCTTGCTTGCAGTGGCAGGGGAGGAATAGCTGAAGGAATCCTGCAGACAATTGTTTGTCTCTACCTTAGGAAAAATTTGAAATCTTCAACCTGGGTTTGAAGACTGGGCACAGCCTGAAGATCAAGGGCAAGATATCCGATGATACCGATAAGTAAGTACAAAGGAACCACCTCGACTTGCCAGGACTGACGGTGGGCTGTAGAGGGAGGTGGTTTTCCAAGGTTGCCAGGTACAAGAAGCTCAGTGTTAGGGGAGCCCCTAAGCCACTACTATTCAAACTCCTCCAGTTCCTGAGCAGAATGAACAAACAGGAGGCATTAAGCACCTGCAATGCTGATGGAGGAATTGAGCGCAGAGCCGCGTGTTGGATCTCGGGTCTTCCAAGACCTTGTCCTGCCTGCGTGGCTGACCTTCTTCCTGTTCTCCCACAGCTTCAGCATCAATCTCGGCTGCAGGTCCTCAGATCTGGCATTTCATTTCAATCCCCGGTTCAATGAGTCTGTCATCGTCTGCAACTCCAAGTGCTCCAATGCCTGGGAGGCAGAGCATCGCGATGACCACCTCTGTTTCTCCAGGGGCTCCTCTATAAAGGTGAGGGACCTGTGCTGGCATGGGGTTATGGGGGGGCTGTGTAGTGGGGCAAAGCCCCTGGTTAGTAGATTCCCTCACCCTGGAGCTCCCAGTCGCACTCGATGTCTCCTGCTCCCTCCCAACAGCCCTTCATTCTCTGGGATTTTGGTCCTAATTGCCATTTCCACTCCTCCTTTAAAACCCTGATGCTTCCTTTGAGAACTTCATGTGAGCCCTGTGCGTCTCAGGCTTTGTGTTTCCTGGCCCCTGTACTTGCTCAGCAGGTGAGTGCACCAGGGGCACGTATGAAGTTGTGAAGGGGGTCTCCAAGAAGCAGGATCTTGCTGTTCTCTGCTTTATTTCTCTCCCTGATTCTGTCCTGTGCAAAATTGGGCACCAGAATTTGGAGCAATGTCCAAAAACCTCTTCCTCAGCTCTTTTACTCCTGCATCCACGCTACCAATCTGTGCTCTCTCCTCCTGCTAGAATGCTGTCCTAGTTGCTGTCTCACCCCATCTGATGTCTCCAGACATGAACAATGCTGCATTTAGGAGCAGTCCTATTCCTATTGCTGTGCAGAGGAAGCTTGTTTCCTTAGTCATGGCTGGCTCTTGGGGAAGGAGTGTCAAGGTAACAGCTTTGGGGAACAATCCTTCTAGAATCATAGGATCAACTAGGTTGGAAAAGACCTTTAATATCATCAACCTTTACCCCAGGACTGGCAAGTCCAGCATTAAACCATGTTGCGGAGGGCCTCATCTGCATGGTTTGTGAACACTTCCAGGGACAGTGACTCCTTCCCTGGGCAGCCTGTTTCAATGCCTGAGCACCCTTTCGGTAAAGAGATTGTTCCTATTGTTCCAATTGTTCCTAAGAAATCCAGTTTAAACCTCCCCTGGTGCAGCTTGAGGCCGTTTCCTCTTGTCCTGTCACTCATTACTTGGGAGAAGAGGCTGACCCCACCTCTCTCCATCCTCCTTTCAGGCAGTTGTAGAGAACGATCAGGTCCCCCCTGAGCCTTCTCTTCTCCAGACAAAGCCCCCCCCGGTCCCTCAGCTGTTCCCCATCACACTTGTGCTCCAGACCCTCCACAGCTCCATTGCCCTTCTCTGGACCTGCTCCAACACCTCAATGTCTCTCCTGTAGTGAGGAGCCCAGAACTGAACACAGGATTCGAGGTGCGGCCTCACCAGTGCCCAGCACAGGGGGATGATCACTGCCCTGGCTCTGCTGCCACACTATTGCTGGTACAGGCCAGGATGCTGTTGGCCTTCTTGGCCACTTGGGCACAAGCTGCTCATGTTCAGTTCTGTGAATCAGCACTCCCAGGCTCTTTTCCATGACAGCTTTCCAGCCGCTCTTCCCCAAGCCTGGAGCATTGCATGGGGCAGGTCCTGGCTCTTTGTCTTGTTGAGCCTCATACCACTGGCTGCAGCCATTGGCCTCATCAGTTTGCAATGATCAGTGATTTGTTCTCATCCCGTCTGCTTGTGTGTTTATCAGTGAAGCTCCTTTTTCTGGGCCCGGTGAGCTGCTGAGGGCATTGGGGTGTTAGGTTTATTCTGCCCTGTTCAGAGCAGATCTAAGCCATATGGTGTAATAAAGATACACTTGTGTTCAACTGCTCTGAGTTTACAGTCTGAGTAGCTGAAACAGCCCCAGGATAGATTCTGTCCCCAGGTCATAGTCTAGATACCAGCTCAGACCCTTGATGTTAACTGCTCATTTCCTGCATCCTTCTCAGCTCAAGCCCCCACACCTTGTTTAAGGCTGTGAGAACCAGGTCTAACCCTGTAACAGTGAGGCCTATTGCCTGGATGCTCGGCTCCTAATCTCCCCCTTGTCCCCAATTGCTGCCCTTCCTCCCCTTCCTTCTCCCAGATCGTTATTGAAATGCTGGAAGACAAATTCCAAGTGAAACTACCAGATGGGCATGAAGTGGAGTTCCCCAACCGGCACTGCTACAACAAGATCAGCTACATGAGTGTCAAGGGAGGCTTCAGGGTCACCTCCTTCAAGCTGGACTGATGGGTGCAGCTTCCTGGCTCTAATAAAAACCCAAGCAGTGGGAGACTGCTTGCTCCAGTACTTTGGCTTCTGTGACATCCCTGGCTCTGTGGCTCTGTGTGAGACACCAACAGAGCCCAAGTTTTTTACTTGTTGGATGGAAACAGCTCCCAGGTACTTTTCCAGGTCAGACCAGGATGTGGGGTTGAAGGGATAGTAGGTAGGGCAAAGCAGTTTATAGGTGGTATTCAGGAAGAGGAAGACTATGTTACTGCTCAGGGAATGGTTGTGCAATCTCTTCACAATGCACTTCTTCATGCACCTGAGTTTTTGGGAGGGAGGGAGGGAGGAAGAGGTAGAAAAGTGAGAGATGGGACATTCCACGTGGCATTTGGTGCCACAAAAGCACCTAGGTAAATGTTAGGCTTGGGAACCTCAGGGCATGGGTTTAACAGGTTCCTCTGGGCAGGAGGAAGAGGTGCTTTGCCCTCCCCCAGGAGCGGTACCATGTGAAGCGGTGGCATGGTGAAGGCAGTGCAGGTGTGCCCCTGAACCAGCATTCCTGCTATTGATAAGGAAGTGTCTCCTCCAACTTTTCCCTTTATCTCACCTCACTTATCTGCTGGCACATTCCAGCCAAGTTACCCATTACTCTGATATTTCCCCATGGAACCCTATCCAGAGAAAGTGAGGCAGAAAAGGCAGTGGGGAGCGAGGACAGGGTTTGGGCTGGGTTACGCAGCTCAGCATCTCCCAATCTGTGTCCCTTGCACTGGACTACAGGCAATTAGCGTTGGTTACCAGACGCTGCTGCTCCAATTAGTGAAGTGTCTCACCAGCCTTAAATGAGACCAATGTGTGACAGAAAACACTGGGACACTTTAGGCAGGATGGGAGGGCAGCAGAGTAGAAAAGCATCTTACAGATATCCCAGTTGAAGACGATGTGACAGTGCCCCTGCCCTCCCTCTCTACTTCTTGCTGCCCAGCCTGTGGGACTTGCTGCTGCCTGAGTGCATCAGGATGTCTGACAGGCTGGAAGTGCTGTAGCCAAGCCAGCTTTGGGAAGGGTACTGATCTGCTTCAGGCTGCAAATGAACTGTTGCGGGGCTGGAGAGGAAGCTTTGCAGCCCCCTGCATGCCATGTGGGGCTGGGTGGATAGGAAGTTGCTTTGTGTGTTAGTCACGGTGGGTGACAAAGTACCAGGCTAGTAACCCAGGGATCCCACAGGTGCTCACAAATCCTGTTGAGAGTGGAGAAGATGGGATTTTGTGGCCAGGACACCATCAGACTTAGCAAGGAAGATAAGGTTGCTGCAGCTGAGGGGAGGCACCAGAGGAGAAGTTAGTATCAAAAGTATTTTAATAAGGACAATAATAAGTGCATGGGATACAGAGCAGAGGCAGAAAGGATATTCCACAGATATGGGTCTTTGGTCTGGGGCTTGTGTTACGATCTGGGAAGCAGAGGGTGGGGGGAACTCATCCTGAGAGCCACAGGGTGCAGGGCTCTCATCAACAGTATCATCAGCAGTGATACAGCTGATGCTGCTGGGTGCCATGGCCAGAGCTGGGGACTCCTTGAAGCTGCTGCCTGCCCTGGCTTGCCCGTAGCCTTGGTGGCCAGACTGCAAATGGCACTTCCATGTAGAACACACGTGCACACCAGAGCCCTGTGTTTTGCCCTGCAGAGCTCCCTGCCAGGAGCGGTGGGTGAGCCTTGCACCATGGCCCAGCATCTCCCCCCTCCTGTCCCCGAGAACAAGGGGTGTCCTGTGAGGGTCCCTCCAGTGACCTCAGCCCCCGAGAATCTCGGCTCCATGCCACGGCACAAAGGAGCTTCTGTAAGGGCCAGTTTGCACTGGGGCAGCGTGGGGGACAGCTCATTCCAGGGTGGCCACGTTGCTTGGCAAGTGGCATTAACCATTAGCCATCCTCCATGCATACCCCTGGGAAGGGGCACCCTGGAAATAGGGATGTATGTGTAGGGAAGGGGGAAGAGGAGGTGAGGATGGCACAGACCGAGCGGCTGCAGAGTGGGAGTCTCCTTGTTCTGAAGTGGAGGGGAATGGAATGGGTTTTTAGGGCCTGAACTGCAGAATGTGGTGACCTGACAACCTGGCCTCTGCCTCCAGCCAGACAAGAAGTTTCTCCCTTCCCTGCTGCAGGGAGGTGGAGGTCAGAAAAGGAGCTGTCCGAAGTGATGCTTAGCAGCAGGAGGCAAGCGAAAAGACCCTTTTGGTTATCTCTGCGAGTGCTCTCACCTCCTGAACACTGAACTCACAGCTTTATTGGTGGGAGGGGAGGGAAAAAGAGAAAGCTCAGCTCAAGGGTTAGCCTTGAGCCCCCAGCTGACCTCCCCTGGTAGACATATGTGCTATATAGAAGGTCTTGCACCAGCTGGCGCTGGGGAGACCCCCATCCCCTATGTGCCAGCGCTATTGGTGAGACTATCTCTGCAAAGGCACTGGTGCCAGCGCAGAGGGAGAGGGCAGTTGGAGGCTTTGGTGGGAGAATGGAGCACATCCCCATACATGCTGGCAGGGGCAGGCTGAGGGATGTGAGAGAGGGTGCTAGGAGGAACTGGATGGGATAAGAAGGGGCTTGGGGTTTCTTTGGCACACTGGAATGTCCCTTTGGTGTCTAATGGCAGTCTAAGGGCCACAGTGCCTGGTGCTGCGATGCACAGCCCCCATCAGCCCCCTACAGCAGCCAGGCCCAGCTTCAGGGAGCCTCTCCAGAGATGGGCTTTCCTCCTGCCCCCCTCCAGCCTCCCCAGTGTTCCCAGCTTGGCAGGGAGGTTGCTTGCTGGGTCTGCTGGTGATGCTGGTGCCTGCAGGCGGGGGACAGGGAGGAGGGCAAAGACCCCAGCACCAGTGCTTCTGACGGGGGCCGTGATGGCAGTTCACACCTTGACTTCATCGTCCTCCTCCTCATCGGCGTACTCGAAGGAGTTGCTGCGCCTCCCCCGGGCACCAGCGTACCCCTCCTGCAGGCTGGCGAATGTGGCCTCTTCCTCCTCCTCCTCCTCATCTCCTTGGTTCCAGGTGGTCTCAGGGGATCGGCTCTCCCCTGTCACTTGTGACCGCCACAAGCTGCTGCTGGGGCTCTCCCATAGGGTCTGTGTCTGGGCCTGCCGGGCACCCTCACCCTTCTGCGAGCTCCGCGGGGTGCTGGTCCCACCATAGTGACGTGCCAGGACCTGTGTTGCCCGGTCAAACTCTCCCGCCTCGATGGTGCAGTCGTTCCAATGGCCCTGCCATGGAGTCCCTCTGGGTGATGTCCCCAGCCCCGAGGCCCAGGCAGGGTCCTCTCCGATGCTCTCGATGGCATGTGCATCTCCATTGGCACGGACCGACAGTCCTGGCAGTGAGCTGGCCCGTGACAGGCTGCTCTGCCCAGAGCGGTCCCAGAAGCTGGACCTTGCCTTGTCCTCTCCTAGTGCTGGAGGGACACCATCCCTGGTCCCCTCACCGCACAGGAGACCTGTGCCATTCTCCCCCATTTGGCTCCCATTGGTTTCGGAGAAGCTCATGACCTGAAGGAGCTCGCTCATAAGCGAGGGCCCCAGGTCCAGACGGAAGGAGAGCAGGGAGTCTGAGCGTGTCAGCTCTGTTTCCCCAGGGAAGGAGCTCTCTTGGGCCTTTTCCAAGCGAGGGACGCGAGGGATGGTGCAAAACCCGGACTCCAGCCCTGCAATGTAGAAATGATGGCTGGTGAGTCAGGGGATGGTGAGGTGGGAGGAAGCTTGCCTGACATCTGCGGGGGACAAGGGATACTGACACCGAAATGGCATGCTCCCATCGTTGGCGCTGGCCTCTAAAGGGCAAGCTGGTGTCCGCGTGGACATCTCCAAAGGCCCGAGTTACAGCAGAGGGTCTCCAGGTGGGCTCTGGGCCTGGGAGGATGCTGGTGGCCGCTGAGCCAGGCAGGTAGGACCAGGAGATGGCAGCATTGCCTCAGCTTGCCTTTCCCTATGAGCCCAGCCGTCTCCCCCCGCTGCTGCAGGACCCCCAGATCCCCCCCGCCCCAGATCCTCTGCTCCAGACCTCCCTCCCTGGGGAAAAGCTGAGCCATAGCCCAGTGCTGTGAGGCCAGAGAAGAGCTACCCTGCTGTCCCTTCCCGTCCTTCCCAAACGTCCATCCTGGACCCCAACCGGCATGGCAGGATGTGGCACAATGGGGAAGGAGGGGATGGAGTCCCTTCAGGAGGACATGGGTATGGGGCAGGTTGCACAGCTAGGGACAGGGATAGAGCATCTGCATGTGGAGGGAGGGAAGGCTGTGCCGTAGGTCCCCTTGACCTCGCAACCTTGGTATGGGCATTGCCCCACTGCCCCAACACCCTCCTGGGGAGGCGGCTCATAGAGAAGGTGTAGGGCTGGGGGGAGATGGAGGGCACCCCCTTACAGCGACTCTACATGGACTGCCAGCCGTGTGAGAGGAGGAGAAACCATCCATATCCCACTCTGGGGGAGACCCGCCAAGGGCAGGAGCAAGGACTGCAATTGAAAGCAAGGATAGATTATCTCCTTGCATAGATTTGCCAGGACTGGGGACTCCTAAATGTCCTGTCTCTGCTGAGAGGCTGAAGTCCCTCAGTGGGGAAACCGAGGCATGGAGCGATGGAGAAGGGCTGCAGGGGACACGCTGCGCCTGGGCACCAGCCTCTGCCCCGTGCTTCACTCACCGTAGGTCTGGTGTGTTTTGGAGAAGCTGTTGGAGGTGCTCTTGAAGGAGAACTTGCTGGTCAAGCCCCGGCTGCTGCCGCCGCCATCGTACATGCCCTCGTTGAGCTGTGGCAGTGAGATGGCATTCTTGATGATGGGCGAGATGGCTGGGGGTGCCGGCGATGCCTGGCTCCCACTGCCGCGGCTCCTCAGCGGCGTCCGGCGGACGTGCCTCAGCGTCCGCGCAAAGAAGTTGTTGGCTTTGGTGGTGTCGGCTCCACCGTGGTTGCTGAGGAAGGAGGTGTCTCCGAAGACGTCCCCGCCGCGCCCCACGTGCATGGTGTGCCGAAAGTCCCCCAGCGGTGGGCTGATCATGTCCGGCGTCAGCTCCGACTTCAGCCGCCGCTTCCCGTGGGAGCCTGACACCCAGCTGAGCACCGGCAGCTTCCCCAAGCTCATGATGAACCCCTCGCCTTGCCCTTGTCTTTGAAAAACACCTCCAAAACTGGCCCTCGCTGGGCTTCCAGCACTGGAGTGGCCTGTCACATCCCTGGCCTCCCCATTGCTCCTGCTCCGGTGCTCCTGGTGGGATGGCTCACGTCACCTTGGCTTTCCGCAGGTGGCAAGGGCGCCTGTCCCCTGCTTTCCTGCTCTATGTCGTGCTCATGAAGCCACCTGCAGCGGGTGGCAGGCAGAGGGGTCCCCAGAGGGTGTCTGGGGTCACCCCAGGTGCTGCGGGGGCTGCTGGAGGCTGTGTCTGGCTGCAGGCTTAGGGGTTAATCCACTGCGCTGCTGCTGTCGGGTAAGGGGAGCAGGTCACAGACGGGGCAGCGGGGGGCCGGAGCTTGGGGTGGGCAAGCGCCTCAGTGCCGGTGGCCACCTAGGCAAGACAAGAGGAATGAATGGTGAAGAGCTTGGAGGGGATCTTCCCAACCACCTCAGCTGCACATCAGGACTGGCTTCTCTGACCTCTCTTGCTGTGCCTCAGTTTCCCCACCCTGCAAAGCAGCTTTGCCGGACCCATGCCGTGACACAGGCTGAGGATTTCCCTCCCAGGCAGCACCTCCTCCCAGGGCCCAGGCTCCCGGGGTAAGAAACCTCTCCCTTCTTTTTGCTATTCAGATGAGCCCTTGGGCAGAGGGTGAGGCCTGGGGACGGTGTGCTTCTCGGGGAGGAGGGGTGGCGGGGAGGGAAATGCACTATTTGTATATTGGTTTGTTTGTTGAACTCTGGCTAGGCCCTCAGGTGCTGGAGCACCTTGGAGCAGCAGTGAGGAGGGAGGGCAGCTGCTCTGCAGGCAGGGGAAACTGAGGCAGGGCAAGGGAGGTGATTGACTGAGGGTGGGAGGGAAGGTGGGATGGGTCCCTGCACTCAGCTTGGGCCAAGAGGTACTGGAAAGTAGCAGCCAGGCATATGATGGTAGAGAGATGATGTCCTCAGTCAGCAGGGAGGACACTCAGATCACCAGATCCCCCATTGCTGTGTGTGGCAAGAGGAACAGGAAAAGATGGGGAGAGGATTCGGGACCTGGGACACCTCAGAACATCAGTGGGCCAGATGCCCTCCTCGGGAAAGGGCCCTCCCTGGGCTCAATCCCCACTTAGGGGCCTGGAGAACAGGACAGAGCTGGGTCCTTTCAGCAGGACCAGCCCTGGAGGGCAACATGGCAAGAGGCAATGCAGGAGCCTTGCATCACTCCATCCCTGTGTGGGTACCCCCATCCCTGCGTTGCTTCGCCTGCCTCCCCTGCCTGTCCCTTTGTCACCTCGGAGCACTCAGGCGATGCCAGGGTGGCAGAACCTCTGGCAAGGGGGAGCCCTGGGCATGAAGCTGCTTTCCTGGCTGGCTGCACATGTTTTCGCCTTGCCCTGGCCCTGTTTGCTCACCCGGGGCCCCTCTTATCTGCCAGGGGTTAATGCCTGGGGAAGGGAAAACAAACCTCCCCTGGCAGCTCCAGCACCATTGGCTGCCTCCCGGGTGGCAGTGGGGACAGTGGCAGGTTGGCCCCAGCTCCTTGGCTCACGCAGCTCCTGCTCACGGAGGTCATGAAGTGCTTCATCATGGCTGGGACAGGGCAGGCACACATCAGGCTTGGGGTGGGAGCATGGCCCAGGAGCAATTTCCTCCCTCTGGCAGAAGCCCACCCATAGCCACTGGGTCAGGAGTGCAAGGAAACCACTGGGGTGGTCCCTGCAGCACAATGGGCATCTCAGCACCCTAGGGAGAGAGATGCAGCCCTGGTTTTGACCTGTCGTTTTGGATCCCCCAGGAACACTCATGGTCCTAGTGGAGGGTATTAGGCAAGTTGTAGCCCTTGAGTTTCCCCTTCCCTCTGCTCATTGAAGCCCTTGAGAAACCCAAAGTGAGTGCAGGGTTACTCTATGAGATGTACTCCCCCAGCCCACCTCGGGTCCCCTGCATAGCAGACCTGCCCTGCATGGGACTGGGGTTGCCATCGTGGGGATATGAGGGATAGCAGGATGCAGGAGAGCATCCCCTTGCTCCCTGCCTGCAGAAGTGCTGAGTGAGGAGCTGGGAGGTGGAGAGTTTATCCTTCCTTGTCCCTTGGCCACCACAGGGATGCAAGCCAGCACCCCTGGCTCTCCCTGCCTGTTGGCAGCAGCAGGTGCTGGGAGAGGAGGGAGAGAGCTGGTGCTCAACCCTACCTGGATGGCAGGTTCCTGGCACGCTTTTCCTCCCTCCAGTCTCCCCCTTTCTCCTCCTTTGCTCTGCCCACTGTGCATCTCCCTGCCTGCTGTGCCCCTGTGAGCCCTCCCCTGCGCCCAAGCAGACTCGTGATTCTATGGGCAAAGGGCAACCCATGCACTCTCCTTACCTCCACTGTGCAAGAGACCCTGCTGCCTGGCCACCCGTCTGTCCAGACACTGCTTCCAGCTCATCCTGACCTCCCGTTCCCCAGCATCCTCTCCCTGGATCCCTGCTCACCTCCTCCGGGAAGCCCCCTGCCCTCAAAGACCAACCACCGGCATCTCCTCCTCCTCCTCCCAGCCTGGCCTCCCCCGGTTTCCCCCCGAGTTCAGCTGGTTACCACTGGTTTTCCACTAGCCAGGAATGGCCAGAGCTGTTCTGCTTGCTGGGAAGAGCGGAAACCAGGAAAGGGGGGGGGGGGGGGGGGGGGGGAAATAATCCAGATGTCTAGTTGGCTGGAGCTGCTGAAAGCAGCCTCTTCCCTCCTCCTCCTCCTTTCCTTACTACCCCCCCCCCCCCCCCCCCAAAGGGGAAATACTGCAAAAGAGGGCGAGGAGAAGTTTGGGGTGGTCTCAATAGGGGGAAGAGGGAGTGGAAATGGCTGTAGGCGGCCAGGAAGGCTTTCACAGCCTTCCCGAGTGCTGACAAACCACCCTTTCCCTGCAGGGAGGGAGGCAGCAGCTCCCCCGTTGGGTCACTGCTCTGGGATGGGGAAAGCCAGCAGGGACACGCTTTTGGGGAAGGGGAAAAACAGCTCAGTTAGCCAGGCTGGGCCTCTTCCAGCTCCCCTGGAGCAGCGCCGGGCAGTAGGCAGTGAAGCCTGAGTCCAACTCCTGTACTGCTGGCTGCTATATATATATACATATAGTTATATCTCTCTGTATAACAAGAGTGTTTTTCCAAGCAGATACACTGGGACACGGAGCCGGTGCTTCAGAGGTGGGCAGTTTCCAGGCATCCTCTCCCTGCCCCCTTGTCCCAAAGCGCTCCGTTTTTTCCCCCAAGCCCCCAAAATTGAGGTGCCAACAAGGGCTCTGAGGGGTATCCAGAGCAAGGGGTGGGAAGCAGAATGTTCCCCATGATGGGACCCCACTTCACCCCCTTTCTCTCCTTGTCCCCCCCACCTCCTGTCTCCCCTCTCCTCACTCCCACTTTCCTTCCTCCCGGTTTCCTGTTGCATTCCTGCCTTCTCCCTTTCTCTTTCACCATCCTTCCCATCCCCATTGCTTTGCCACCCCTCCCACTTTGCCCTTCTCCCGCCACCCTCTCCACCCTTTTCCTTTTGCCCCTAACACCCCTCTTCCACCCTCCAGCTCTACAAACTGAGGAATCAAAACTTTCAGGATTTACCTCTTCCAAACCAGGGTTCTTATTTTTCCTCTCTGTCCTCTGGATGAAAAGTTGGGAGACACTTCCCGCTGGCCCCTCACTTGCTCCGAGGGTTACTGCTGCCGCATCCCGGAGCGGATGGGGGCACAAAGGGGAGGCATGCCCCCCTCCGTTTTCCCACAGCTGTCCCCCCAAGGCTTGGCTCTCCCAGGCTGACGCCCCAATGCCACCGGAGAGAGGGAGCGAAGCTGTCGGGGAGGGGACGTGGGAAGGAGGAGGGCGGGCTGCAGCACCGCTGAGCCAATCCTCGCCTCGGCAGGAGACCAGAGAAAATGAGATTTATTCCAACTATCCAGGACAGAAAACTTCAGGAACTCCTCTGTCCCCCCCCGCTCCTCCCCGCTTCCCCACGGCCATTTCCCGTCCTCTGGCATCCCGGCCTCCTGATGCACCCGCTTCAATGGATCTGGGGGAAGGGGGAGCCCAGATTGCTGGCTATAACCTGGTTAGGGGAGCCTGGCCAGGGAGCAAAGGAAAGGAGTTTGCCCCCTGTGTGTGGATATTGCATGGGGTCATCCTATCCCATGTTGGATGGGAAGTCCTAGTGCCTGCGGTGTAGTGCTGGCAGCCAGAATGGGGTATGGTTTCAAACTTAAACAGGGGAAGTTCAGGTTAGATATAAGGAAGACGTTCTTTACTGTGATGGTGGTGAGGCACTGGGATGGGTTGCCCAAAGAAGTGGTAAGTGCTCCATCCTTGGCAGTCTTCAAGGCCAGGCTGGACAGAGCCTTGGATGACATGGACTAGTGTGAGGGGTCCCTGCCCATGGCAGGGGGTTGGAACTGGATGATCTTAAGGTCTTTTTCAACCTACACTATTCCGTGATTCTATGGGGGTGGGTGGTCATACCAGGACCTGTGGGTAGCACTGGGTTGAGTTTTAGCAGGATAACAGGCTGCCTAAATGCTGCGTGGGCCATTTGGTCATTCATAACGGGCTCAGGACAAGCGTCATACCACCGGTAGTGTCTCATACCGGGGTAAGGGGGTGGAGGTGGTTAAGTTCAAGGAGGTGCTCCTTGGTGGCACCGGGGGAGGTTCTGCCCACACATGGGACACCATATCCCTCTGGAACCGTGCTTTGTTGCTTTGTTCCTTGGTGGTTACAGGACAGAAGACCCTATCGGTGCTAATGAGGGGCAACCTGCTGGTGGTCATGGCATCACCAGTGCCACTGATGACCCTCATGGCCTCAGTGGCTCTGCTAGGGAGCACTTGGCCAGGCACAGGCACCCGTTCAGGGCCCTGCAGAGGAGAAGGGAGGTGTCTGTGCTGGGAAAGGCGAGACAAGACTTGTTGGGGTTAAGCAGGGCCTGGCTGAAAGGATGACAAGATGTCTGCAGAGATGTCAAAATGGAGCCTGGCTTCTCGCTAGGCTTAGGCAGCTTGTGCTGGGATGCCCAGGCAGGAGAACCTTGTTGCTCAGAGGTTTGCTAAGCAGCACTGGGGTTTTGGCA